TCAATTTATACAGCAGCGATGCGACTGCTGTGACCTCTGACACCGCTGCCGTCCCCCATGGCGATGGCTGTTTCTAAATGGAGAGTCACCACGTCCAGTGTGTGATGCTGAGAGCTAACACATTCTCCAAACACCACCACACCTCTCCTCCTTTCCCTTTAACTGTGCTTTGATCTGTGATTCAGTTTTTTTCCATTTGCTCCCCCCTCTCACACCCACACCGAGATGGACTTAAACAAGGCAGCAGGCACAGCAGCACAGTGGGTCTTTCAACGTCACGAGGGTCTCTGCAGCTCTTCAGCCGTACGTGACAGGCAGCTGACGGCACAGTCGAGTTTCAAAAGCACCTTCCTCCCTCCCCCATCCCTCTGTGACTTTTGGTACTGAGGATAAAGTAAAAGCAGTTTTTCTTTCTTTAAGAGATGTGAAAGGATGGAAAATATGAAACGATAGAGCAGGACAGCGGATGCAATTAGATGTGAGATGGAAATAGGGCAGGAAAGGCAGAGCTGGGCTGAAATGAAAGAGTACTTGTATGTGTGGGATGTCAGAGGACGCTGACCTGAAGCTCTTTAGAGACTTGAGATGTTGTTGGAGCATCAGAGGAGGGTTGTAAGGAGACACTTGAAACGAAAACATGAAACGGGAATACTACAGGAATGTTACTGTTCACATCAACTTAAATATATTAAGGTATTCAAACACGTGGATAAAGTATAACAAGTCTGTGTGGCATCTGTTCATGTACTGTAGAACCTTGGACACCTCGTGTAGTGCTCTTGATTGGTTTAGCATGAAGGCGTCACTGTGCGATAACAGTGATAGCCCAAGTGTTTAATAAGGCTTTTGATCTCACCATAAACTTCACCTGTCGCCACCTTTTATCTCGTCTGCTGTAGACCTTTACATCTTGTGGTCCTGCGGAATGCCGGAGCTTCTGGCCCCCAACAGAGGCCCAGTGTTTATCACATCTCTGTCATCGAAGGGAGAGAGAAAGAGAGAGCAGGAGAAGGAGGAGGGGTTTGGTGGGGGCTGCTCAACTGCGACAGCAACTCCGCGGTGGTTTTAGCCTGTGAGTCATCGCTAGAGGGTTTAACTCTTCCGATGCCAAGTTGAGAACGTGCAGCGATGTTGTTTTTCATGACCAAAAGTGCATTTTTAAGAACCTCTCGTTACAAAGAGGGATTTGGCGTTGGCACGTTTAGTTCTACATCTCATAAAACTGGCACCTAAGAGTTGGTTTCACTTCAATCAAATCAGCTCTCCTGTACATGCAAAGTTAACATTTTCATTGTTTCCACAGCTGAATCTAACAAACGGCTTTATTTCTTTTTGTTTTTCCCAAGCAGCAGCTCCAAACATCCTTCCTGTCAGCATCTTCTACACAGCGCTGCTGTGCAACAGACAGCGTCCAAGGCTATTTTTAAACACAGCTATTAGTATGCCATATCATAAACCTGAATCATTTATATGGATTTTTAGGGCCGGTTATTGCGTGTGCTGTGTGATGACGCGGTGGTCAGGTGTTGCCTCATATAACCAGGGGAGCTGTCCGAGTGCTGAAAACAGAAGAGAACAGCATCGCTACTGAGGAGATGTCATACACCCTTACTGCTGTCTGAGCTTTACTGCCAAAGGTAAACCACGATTTCTTTTTTATTTATTTGATTCCGTTTTTTTTATTCTGATTCACATCTAGACGGGTAAAATTGAAAGACAGTCTTTTTTCTATTTTTTAAATCACAGCTTCTCGCAGATTTCGACACGTTCCGTTAGAACGAATGAAATAGAAAGAAAACTATATCCTTCTACAGTCGGGGATTACAGTGAGTTGTAGTAACGGAGGATTGTTTTTAGTTAATGTGGATGCTGACGGGAGGAAATCAGATTTTTTTAAGACGTCAATAACCAGACGGGGAGTGACTCATCCAGTGATGTGAATGTTTCTCCACACGCACACCAACACATCGTTCAGTTTGCGAAGCGTAACTCCCCGACAGGCGCACAAACCCCAGATCAAAACAGAATTGTTTACGATCGTGCTCGTTGCTTCCTGATAAGCTTTTAGTTAATAAGATAACCGAAGAGAGGGAAATAATCTATGATCTTTTCCCCCTCCCAGCTGCTTCACCATCATTGTCCTCTCTCTTGTTTTCCAGGTAATAATTTGCCTATAATGCTGCATTTTCACCACAAGTTGCCCGCGGGGGGAGCCGTGGTCCTGCTCGCCTTCCTCCTTCATGGATGCGCCGTGCAGGCTGCGTCTCTCCCCCGTCACTACAGGCTCCGAGGAGGGGAGAGTGAGGGGCAGCCGGCTGCGTATCCACCCAGCGCCGACATGATGAAAGCCCTGGAGTACATTGAAAACCTGAAGCAGCAACGAAACGGGGGCCAGCCTGAACCCGTGGATTACGACGAAGTGGAGAAGTTCAGGGTCCTGCTTCAGCTCGCCTCGCAGCAGGACGAAGGTCCCGGGGATCACCAGCCTTCCCAGGGCATGCAGAGGCAGGACATTACCGCTGAGCAGCTGATGAAAGCTCTGCTCAGGTCCCTCCAGGATCAGACCGGGAAGGACGCAAAGCTTAGCCCCCCAACGCCGCCGAGAAATGACCGCCGAGCTCACAGGCACCGCACCAAAGATACTGAAATGCCTGAGGGCGCACCAGTAGATTACGGTAACTTCCCCAGACCCCACAAGAAGTACCCACTGATGTTTGAGGACGAGGAAAATACTGACGCTTCCAAGCGGGCCACCGAGGACCTGGATGAGCAGTACACACCCCAGAGCCTCGCCAATTTGCGGTCCATCTTTGATGAGCTCGGGAGGATGCCCACAATCGGTGGGCAGAAGAGAGACGGGGACGACGGGGAGGAAGAAGAGGACCGACTCAGCCTGAGAAACCAGGCCTATGAGGATGTGGCCGGAGGCGAGGAGTGGGTCCCCATGGAGGAGAGGGAAGAGGCGGAGGAGATGGTCAACGGGAGCCATGAAGAAATGGACAGGGCGCTCAGTGACCAGGAGGAATCAGAGAGGGAGGAGATGCAACGCCGGGCCAGCCAGAACCAAGAGGAGGCTGATGATGACACTAAGCTCGTAGATTACTACCTGCTGAAAGTCCTGGAGATGAGTGACCAGACGCAGAAGAGGGATAGGACCGGTGAGCAGAAAAAGAGACTGATCCGTCCCTCTATCGTGGATCCTCGGACCGTGAAGGAGTTGCTGGAGCTTTCCCTGAAGCTGCACGTCCCTCCACAAGACCTTATCGATATGCTGCTCACCGAGGAGCTCCGAAAGCTCCACCGCGATCCACAAGCCGCGGCTCGTTACACGAATGCTGGCCAAACCCCCAAGATAAGGTACTTCAGCCGCAGACTGCCGCTGAAAAGCAAGACAATCCCTGATGATATGGACAGAGAGGACTTTTTAGACATCATCGGGGTAGAGACAATCAGTAACGAGTACCCCGTGGTGCAGAGACCCATGAAGACCTCTCAGCCCTCAGACAGAATGCCTGCTGCGTCCAACCCTGCTGCAAATTCAGGTCCAGTTAAAATCCCCCCTCCCTCCGGACGCAGGGAGAACCTGTTTCTCTCCGAGCTCAACAAAATGCCCCTGAAGCGTGAGGCTGACAGTGACGACGACGACGGCGGTGACGTGGAAGACGAGGTGACAACATACCTGGCGGCAAAAATTCTCACAGAGTACCCCAACACAATCACCAAGCGGGACACCCAGGCGCAGCTGAAGGCGCAGTTCCCGTACGAGCTGTACGAGCGCGCAATGGACTACTTGGGGCAAGTGGACAATGAGAAAAGGCCACTGGTCAAGAGGGAAACCGAGGAGGCCACAGAGGAGAACGTAAAGCCCACAGAAATGCAGGGGAAAGAAAAGATAACGGCTAAAACCTCGGCCCCTCAAACCGTAAACGAAGAGGAGGAGCACCGTGAAAAAACAGTGGCCGGGATGTAGCCAGATGTCCTGCCAGACGCACGAAATTATGAATTTAGTATATATACTGTCTGAAAAATAAAGTTTGGTGGACGTGATCTAGTTTACAAATTTCTATTATATGAACTATAGCCGGTATGACTAATATCTCCCTAACGAAAATGAACTACAGCACTCTTACAAATCAAATAAAAAAAAAAAGTCCCTACTTGCTGCAAGAACCTTATATTATTATTAATATATAGTTATACAAGAGATTTTAGGTTCCTCCCTTAGGTTGCGAACCTCTTACCAATCTCAAATTGCCAGTTAATAAAGAAAAGAAAAAAAGAATAAATTTAACAACCAAACCCAAGTTATTAAAGATTTGTGATGTTGTTGAAGGTTTGTTTACATTAAATGTGTTTGTAAACAGCACTATATTTTCAACTGTAATCAAATGAGTAACGGTGAAGATGCTTATTTTTCATCCATGTCAAAACTATTCAATTACATATGTGAATATTCATGTAAATTATTCAGTATGATGCTGACCGGGAATTTAAAAACACAAGTACACGGCGTATTTGGAGTACTATTGGAATATTATAGGAATTTTTCATTAGGGCAGTGTGCTGGCCTCAGAGCGAGTGTTGTTGTGACTCGTGATATATTCAGGGTTAGTGGATTTAATGTTGTTATTACAGATAATTATTTCCAAGTCTCAATATCAGAACGTCGCCTGCCTTCCAGCCCCTTTCATACTGCGAAGCTCTGTATTGTTGGCCTAACAGTGATTGTGCTATGTATGCTCATTTTTAAACCATTTTTGTACATGTTCAACAATGTGTGATCAATCACAGATGAATAAAGCATCAGCGGTATTATTTTTCTTCTTTCTGAGTTGTGTTGCCTTATTAAACAAATATAAATGTTGCATATAAAAGGAAGCCAAAGCAGCATGTGCATTATTTTGGGGGGGCGGGGATGGCGGGATACAGCGACATACATATGAGCATTCATTCAAATTAAACATTCAGCACCAATATAACAAGTCACTACTCAAAGCAAATTGCTTATCAAAAAACATTTTATTTGTAACATCAGAAAATGCACATCAAATGTATACATTTAAAAAAAGAAAAAAAAAGAAAATCACACCCACACTAGCATAGCAAGTGCCCTTTTTAAAAGACTAACAGTCAAACACACGTTGTATGTCTTGCACATTAAAAACAGCAGGTAATCATTGGTATCAGTGTTATATCAAAACGAGTTCTGTGCTGTAAGTAACTCCGTAAGTTGCTGAGTGATTGGCACACACACAAAAAATATATATATCAGAGACTTCTCAGACAGACTCCAAACATTAATTTCTGACATATTAATACATGATAAATACAGGAAATTTGGAAATCGGAACATCACTTCCTGATCATGATTTTTTTTCCCTTTAAATACCCACCATCTTGTTATTACTTCAAATTTAATAACTGCAATTGACATCGAAAAACCCCTCCCAACCCCAACCCATATCCTCCACACAGAAACGCACCCATACAAACTCTCCTTTCACTTGAATGCATTACTGTTAATGTATATTAGAGTCGCCACAAAAGACATGATGCACAAAGCTATGATTTAGGCAGACATTCAAGTAAAGCCAGATTTTTCTCTTCTGAAAATGTTCAGTAGAATCGAAGTTCGCTCGATTTTCAGGTTCAGAAAAGTATGTGACTGCTATATAGCACATCTTGCTCCCGTCTTCTTCTTTGCTGTTAGTTCATGTCCTTTTGTCCCCCACCCCCACAAGCTAAAATGCAGGTTTGCTCATGTACTCCTCCAATGTCTAAGGAAAAAAAAAATAGAAAAGAAAGCACAAGGGATGAAAAAAAACAATCAGGTTCCCAGACTCCAAAAAGTGCAGTGTAATACAAAATCATATCCACAGTCACACATCTACACATCACCTGTTACAAAGTGCTGAGCACAGCAATGCACTAACATAAGCGGAACATCTAACCTTTCTGTCCATATTCAAGGTCATCCAAACAGCTCCACCTCATACCACTCACTGATGTCATCCTGAAGCGATAATGGTCAAAATGAATGGGAGACTAAACTGCATCACTCTAGATAAAAAGTGTTAATCACCCTGACTCAGGAGCACCGAACAACACACCCAGCTACGCAGAGAGCCACGAGCCTACAGGGAGAGCAGGAAGCATCAGCGCTAACATTTAAAGAAAATCTGTCTCACGCTAACACCCAGACAGAGAGAGAGAGACACATAAGGGGTAAGAAAAACAGCAAAACACAGACCTATAAAACAAAGAGGGAGCAGCCACTACTATCCACATGCCTTTTAGTTATGAGGAAGACAAAGGCACAACAGGGATCACCACATTTGATTGGATTCTACAATGCACCGACTACTTCGCACGCACACACACATCACGTTCCCATGTCAGAGCCTCACACAATACTCGTGTTGCTTAAAGTAAACAGTAAGCACTAATTTCAGGTATCTGGGCCTTTCAAAATACCCCACAACCATGATTTAAATAAATAAACAAACTTTGGAATACATTTGAAAACATGGCAACATTGCTTTAAAAGGAGACACTACAAGTGAAGTCTGTTAAATACAATGTATCACCATTAACCTTCTCCTGTTGAGCACTTACATTAAGTATAGTTTTTTTGGTATTGCAACTTTTTAACTGAACACTGAAGAGAGCTGATACAGATTTATTCCAGCCTGTCATTCTGTAAGGTTCGCTGTATGTAAGTGCTACTGGAATGGGGATTTCTGAGGAAAACAGCATTTCAGTGTCTGTTTTACTAATAAGAATTAACCAACAGATAAACCGTGAAACTTCCTAAGAGCTGCAAGTAAATAAATTAAAAAAAAAAAAAAAAAAAGGCACTGCCTCCTTAAACATGCACTAATTTGCACAGTGGATAAAATGCATATTTAAGACATTTTATTTACATTAGTC